ATACAGACTGATTTTACTGTTGTGGGTTTAGTAACACTTTAATGTTATCCTATGTATCCATGGACATTAGGACATTTAGAGGCATATTTTAAGCTCAGTGTTTAGAGGCAGACAAAAAACTCTGTTTTGCATTTTTCAGAGGAATTTTCTGGCAGAAACAACACTAAACACTCCTAAACGCCTGCTTTGTATGAGCGTTTTATCTGCCACAAGAACTGCCATTTTTTTAAGCCCAGTGTGCATGGACCCTAAATATATGTGTGATGGCTATCATTGTAGTAAAGTGGGCTCTTTTCATGTTCATTCAAATATTCAAAAGCCCATTGTGCATGAAGTGACTATATAAGGTATCATTTCAACTTCAAAAACGTATCAATCACATAGTGGTGTTCAAAATTGTTTTGGCATATCCATGTGCTCCAACAGTGTTGTTCTTATTGACAAAGCCCTATACTACTATGCATTTATCTCTGTATGTGAGAAGACAGAGTATTTCTCATAAGGAGAAAATTATATCAACTGATCATATTCATCTGTTGTCCACAGCAGCCCCTTCTTGGGGTGATAGACATATTCATAAGTGCCTATATGCAGACTATCAATATAGTATTCATTCAAAAATCCATAACATATGGGATAGCTTGGGTAAAGTGTTATTTCCTCTCCAAGAATGTATCAGTCCACAAGGGTGCTCAGTGCTGTGTTAATGCATCCATACGCTTGAGCCATAATTTATTTATTTATTTCAGGTACTTATATAGCGTCATCAACTTACACAGTGCTTTACATATATATTGTACATTCACATCAGTCCCTAACCCTCAAGGGGTGTACAATCTAAGTTCCCTAACTCACATTCATACATACACATACTAGGGACAATTTAGAAAGGTGTCAATTAACTTACCAGCATGTCTTTGGAGTGTGGGAGGAAACCAGAGTACCCAGAGGAAACCCATGCAAACTCCAGGCAGGTGGTGCCATGGTTGGGATTCAAACCAATGACCCTAGTACAGCGTTTGTATTGTGAGACATGCATTTATGCCATCTTCATTTTCCTCTATGCAACTGAGCAAACTTTTACTGTGTAGCGTGCACTGGATGTGACCATTGGCTACAAGTTTATGCACTGACAAGAAGCATGCTAAAAAGAGCATGCATGTAAAAAAAGAGAGAAAAATGACAGTGAGATTAAAGTGGTAGTAAAGGCTCAAGGTTTTTTACCTTCATGTATTCTATGCATGAAGGTACAAAACCTTCTGTGTGCAGCAGCCCCCCCAGCCCACTCAATACTTACCTGAGCCCCATTGTGATCCACCGATCTGCTCAACAGCCTCGGCTGTGTCGTGTCTCTGCCTTCTCATTGGCTTCTGTCAATCACAGCCAGTCAGCGAATAAGGAGAGGGAGGGGATGGGGGCAAGCCGTGGCTCCATGTGTGAATGGACACACGGAGCAGCGGCTTGGGAACAGCCCGCTTGGGTGCCCCCATAGCAAGCTGCTTGCTATGGGGGCATCCCACAGAAAGGAGGAGCCAGGAGCGCTGACATGGGGTCCAAAAAGAGGAGGATCCAGGCTGCACTGTGCAATACCACTTCACAAAGCAGGTAAGTATAACATGTTTGTTATTTTACAAGAAAAAAAAATTAACCTTTAGTATTGCTTTAACTCATCACTGTGCTGCTTCTCATTAAACGGTCCAGTCACAGGAATGGCAGGTCCAGGGTGACCTGGGATCAGAGAAAATTGGTTGAATGATGCTGGCCATCTGAATGAAGACATCTAACAGCAGACTAAGTAGTGCAGGGGAGATTTCAAGATCAGCTTTTCTCAACCAGTGTTCCATGAAACCCTTAAGCTGCATTCACACTTGAGCAATGTGTAGCTTGAAGCTCCAAAAACACTCAAACTTAAAAAAATCAATTGTTCTCTGTGGTGCCTGTTCACACGATCAGGGACGAACAGGCACCATACAGGACAATGATTCTTTTTAAGTTTGAGCGTTTTTGGAACTTCGAGCTTCAAGCCTCAAGCTAGAAATTGCTCAAGTGTGAATGCAGCCTAAGGTTCCTCCAGAGGTTGCTAGGGGTTCCTTGAGCTGTGGCTGATGGACCTGCCATCTGATGGTGTCTGCATAGTTCCAGGGTCAACACCACTTGGCAGAGCCAGCAGTTTGACATCAATGATCATTTTAACTACATGTCAGGTGGCATTCAGGCCACCATTGTAAAATGGATTTTCTTCCCCTTCACCACCAATATAAGGGGCATTTTTTCCACTGACCTTTGATAGATTGGTTTTATCAGGGATACCCCAAGAACTTAAAATTATTGCAAGGGTTCCTCCAGAGCAGGGGTACTGAATTAAAATTCACGGGGTCTGGTCAGGAAAATTTTCTTCTAGCAGAGGTCCGAGTTTCATGTTGGTGCCATGACTCAGATCCTTCACATCACAGTTTCCTGTGCACATCACAGTTCTCCCCATCACAGAACCCCCCACACACGTCACCGACTGCTCCATCACAGTCCGTACCATCACATGCCCCTCAATCAAACCCCCCCATTACAGACCCCTCTCATTACAGACCCCTCTCACTACAGACCACCCTCATTACAGACCCCCCTCATCACAGACCCCTTTCATTACAGACCACCCTCATTACAGACCCCCCCATCACAGACCCCTTTCATTACAGACCCCTCTCATTACAGGCTCCCCCATCACAGACCCCTCTCATTACTGACCCTCCTCATCACAGATCCCCTTCAATCACAAACACCCCATCAAAGACACCCCTCAGCACAGATCACCCCATCACAGTCTTCCCTGCATATTACAGATTCCTGTCCCTTTCATAATATCGCAGCGTTCCCCCCTTCATCCCCCCCCCCCCCACACACTGTCCTAATTATTCACCCAAGACGGCAAGCACAGAAGGTCTGGACATAGGGCAGGACTTTTCATGTTAAATGCGGGTAAATGATTGCTTGGACTGCCCCCGTTGCCTAGCAACCAATCATCCGCAACCAATCACTCGCTTCCTAAAATGAAAAGTCCTGACCTATGCCAGACCTGCCATGTTTGCCATCTTGTGTGAATAAGGTAGGAAGTGTGGAGGGGGGGTGCTGCGATGTTATGGAAAGGACAGACCCGCTGCACCTCAAATGATGTGTCCTTCCTTGAGGAGGATAATAGTGGCAGGTGGGGGAGCCAGCGGCAGGGAGAGGATATTCAGGAAACTATTTGGTGAGGCTGCGGTCCAGAAAGGACTGTTTCTGAGTCTGGATCTGGACCGCGGTCCTCCATTTAGTGATGCCTGCTCTAGGGAAAAATAAGGTTACTTTAGAGAAAGGCTACTTTAGATTGAAGCTAAATATTGCAACAAACGTTGGTTTTGTTATTTTTTCTTTTAAAGGGCTGTTCATTTTTAACTTATTTTAGGCTAAGACTGGGCTTTAAATCAGTGTTTGTCAACCTTTTTTTTAAGTTGAGGCACTCCATTCTAAAGTGTACAAACTAAACTAATAGTTTTACATAGCATGCACACATGTAGGACACCCAACGTTAGAGGAGATTTATTCTTCCAAAGCAAATACACCTTTGCACACTGGTACTGACTAGTATGCCAGTGTTTCTCTTCTCCCTTAGTTTCTTTCCCTCATTCAGCTTATGTGACCCCCCAATGCTGATAGAGAGGGGCAAACAAGGATGCTGTGCAGGCACCTGATGTCCTTCTTATCAACCGATGATATAATTGGTTTTTAGGACACTGCCGGCTAGAAGTTTGTAATGGTGCATGATGAAACCCTGGGCTTTATAACTAAAAGACAGGGTTAATCAACCCACTGGCAAGTATAAAATTTTGGGGCATCTTTTAGGCATTCTGCCAAGGCACCCCTGAAGAAACCTGAAGGCACCCTGGTAAAAAAAAATGCTGCTTTATATCATATTTTAAGAGCCGTTGAGGTAGAAATCCTAGGGGCTTACAATATTTATCTCCTAACTGTTGTTTTGTGGCTTTCTTATCACATGTTACTAAGACATCTGCAACAATGTGGTTAATGTTGTAACAAACTGAAGACAAATGGGCTGCCTTGGGAAAATGATGTGTTGGCAGAGGCTGATTCGCACAGTAGTGAACCTCACAGAAAACAGTTCTTTCCGTGCTGGTACAAAATTACTCATAAAAAATTTTAACAATGCATAGAGAGCAACATTTGTAAAAGCTTGACATCATGTCTATCCTATTCACAGCATAGGGACATAAAAATGAAGTGTATTTAATAATAACAGGATGATATATAATACCAGTAAACAATCGATCTTTTTCAGAGAATAATCAAAGGAATAACATAAGATTTAACCACTTGCCCTCCTGAGGATTTACCCCCCCTTCCTGACAAGGCCACTTTTTGTGTTACGGAGCTGCGTTACTTTAACTGACAATTGCGTGGCCATGCAATGCTGTACCTAAATTAAATTTACATCCTTTTTTTCCCACAAATTGAGCTTTCTTTCTTTGGTATTTGATCGGCCGTGCAGTTTTTATTTTTCTGCGCTAAAAAAGACCAACAATATTGAGAAAAAAAAAATATTTTTTACTTTATTAAACATGTCCAATAAAAAAATGTTAAAAAATCAAATTTCATCATAAATTTAGGCCAAAATGTATTTTGCTACATGTCTTTGTAAGAAAAATCCCAAATGCATGTAAATTAATTGGTTTACGTGAAAGTTATAGTGTTTACAAATGGTGGTATAGATACTGGATTTTTTTTTTTTGTTACTAATAATGGCGGCGATCAGCAACTTATAGCGGGACTGCGGTGGGTATTCTGACACTGGGGTGAACTGACTTGATGTCACTGACATCCCCAGTGACACCAATACAGTGATCAGTGTTAAAAAAAGCACTGAAACTGTACTAATGGCACTGGGCAGGAAGGGGTTAACATGAGGGGCGATCAACGGGTTAATCAAAGGGTTAACTGTGTGCAGGAAGTGTTTTGCTAGGGGGCTGTTTGTTGGTGCTTCACTGTAACCACACTGCTTTGGATGGCTGTGCTGTGCACAAACATCCAGAGCAACAAACAAAGCAGTCCTCCTTCCCGTCGGAGATGCTTGGTAATCACCAGGCACCGGCGGGTAATCACTGTCCGGGACCCGGTGACTGACAGCCGCAGCCGCGATTGTGGCGCGGGTAGGGCGCACACATGCCCCCTTCCCGGTAATGCAAAATCACACACACACATACAGTCATGGCCGAAATTGTTGGCACCCTTGATATTTCTCCAGAAATCATGGTATTTCACACGGTAATGTTAACACTATATGTTTTGCTTTGTTTTATTCCCTTTGTGTGTATTTGAAAGAAAGCAAATTCGACATAATGTCACACACAAACTCCAAAAATGGGCTGCAGTATTGGCATCACAAGCTGCGGATAAATAAGAATGTTACAAGCATGTGCATGCTCCTGTAAACTCACTGAGGCAATTAACAGGTGTGGGCAATATAGAAATCAACCTGAAACAGATAAAAAGGAGAGATGTTCATTTAAACCTTTGCATTGTGTGTCTTTCTGTGCCTATACAACTAAATGGACAACAGAAAGAGGAGACGAGAAACTGTCTGAGGACCTGAGAACCAAATTTGTGGCAAAATATCAACAATCTCAAGGTTACAAGTCCATCTCCAGAGAACTAGATTTCCTTTGTCCACAGTGCGCAACATTATCAAGAAGTTTTGCAACCCATGGCATGTAGCTAATCTCCCTGGTCGTGGACGGATGATGAGGAAAAATGATGAAAGATTGCAACGCAGAATAGTCCGGATGGTGGATAAGCAGCCCCAAACATGTTTCCAAAGAACATTCACAGCTGGATGCAGGCTCAGGAGCATCAGTGTCAGCGCGAACTATTCGACATTTAAATGAAATGAAACGCTATGGCAGGAGACCCAGGAGGACCCCACTGCTGACACAGAGACATAAAAAAGCAAGACTACATTTGCCAAAATGTACTTGAGTAAGCCAAAGCCCTCTCTGGAAAACGTCTTGTGGACAGATGAGACCAAGATAGAGCTTATTCGGTAAAGCACATCATCTACTGTTTACCGAAAACGGAATGAGGCCTACAAAGAACAAAACCCACAGTACCTACGGTAAAATATGGTGGAGGTTCAATGATGTTTTGGGGTTGTTTGCTGCCTCTGGCACTGGGTGCCTTGACTGTGTGCAAGGCATCATGAAATCTGAGGATTACCAAAGGATTTTGGGTCGCACTGTAGGGCCCAGTGGAAAGCTGGGTTTTGCGTCCAAGATGCCTGGGTCTTCCAGCAGGACAATGACCCCAAACATACGTCAAAAAGCACTCAGAAATGGATGGCAAAGAAGCGCTGGAGAGTTCTGAAGTGGCCAGCAATGAATCTAAATCCCATTGAACACCTGTGGAGAGATCTTAAAATTGCTGTTGGGAAAAGGTGTCCTTTCCAATAAGAGAGACCTGGAGCTGTTTGCAAAGGAAGAGTGGTCCAAAATTCCGGGTGAGAGGTGTACAGAAGCTTATTGATGGTTATAGGAAGCGACTGATTTCAGTTATGTTTTCCAAAGGTGTGTGAACCAAATTATTAAGTTAAGGGTGCCAATACTTTTGTCCAGCCCATTTTTGGGATTTTGTGTGACATTATGTCATACTTTTCTGCCTCTGTTTTATATTTGACTTCCAATACATACAAAGGGAATAAACATGTGTATAGCAAAACATGTGTTAATGCAATACCTTTTTTGTGTGAAATACTTGATTTTCAGGACAAAAAAATATCAAGGGTGCCAACAATTTCCACTGTATACCCTATATATATCCTCTATATATAATATATATATATAATATATATACGTGATGTTGCGCACCCCGTGATTTTGCTGCCCTGTAGCAGTATAACTGCTATAGGGCAGTGGGGAAGCGGTTAATGTACAAACAGCTAAAGCAATCAAATATATACTAGTTCTATTAATAAAAATATAAATAAAATCATAGAAATATGTTAGTTGTCAAGAGCACCTCCTCCTGATCTCCCCTCTCTTTCCTCTTGAACAATACTTGACATGCTAAGGTTGCTATAGGCAGCTTCTCCAGATCTCCACTCTCACTTTCCTCTTGAATACTACTGTGATTTTAGATGCTGTGGACTGTACTTTTATACCTCTATTTTCTCTTGAATATTACTGGGTGTTTATTAATTGCTGTGAATAACTATTTTAGACCTCTACTCTCTTCCTTCTTAAATACTACTGGGATTCATTGGTTACTTTATGCATCTCCTCCAGATCTACAATCTCTCCTCTCTTAGAGCAGGCTCACATATATGCAGATTAGATGTCTTTTGAACCACATCCAATTTGCATGACATTTGAAATAACATTGGTTTCTATTGTGCTTGTTCATGTACTGCATATGCTGTGCAACCAGAGTCAGTTTTCTGAGCAGTGTGGTTTGGCTCAGGTGTGAATACAGGCTCATTAACTTCTATGGGAATGCTTCTGAATCGCACATGTGATCAGTTGTGAACAGGATAAAATCCTGACCTGATCTAAACCTGTCCTGAACCGCTAGACAAAACGGAGCTTCAATTTGCACCGCACATGTGTGAATCAGGGGCGGACTGACCATTTGGAAACTCGGGCACTGCCCAAGGGCCCAGGGTCAGTAGGGGGCCCCATGAGATGCCCCTGGGGTACCTTTTTCATAGGCTTTTTTAAGTTTGGGCAAGGACACAGGGGCCCCATGATCCCCTATTGCCCGGGGGCCCCATGAGTTGTCAGTCCGCCCCTGGTGTGAATCCACACTTAAACACTATTTGGTGTCTGTTGACTGCTCTCTCCTGTCTTGGATACTACTGTGTGATTATTGGTTGCTGTAGGCCGCTCCCCCAGACCTCCTCTTTATTCCGTATTGAATACTACTCGGTGTTGATTGCTGTGGGCTTTGCCAGACCTCTACTTTCGACCCTCTTGCCTTTTTCTGGTGGCTGTGGGTACCTCCTCCTCCAGATCTTCACTCCCTACCCACTTGAATACTACTGGCTGTTTATTGGTTGTTGTGGGCAGCTCTTTTAGACCTCCATTCTCTCCCTTCATACATATTAATGAGTGTTTAATGGTTAATGTAAGCAACTCATTAAGTTCTACACCTACTGCTCTCTCTTAAACATGATTGGTTTATTGTCTACCGTGGGCCACTTTTTCAGATCTCCATTCTCTCCTGTCTTGGATACTACTGTGTTTTTATTGGCTGCTGTAGGCACCTTCCTCAAATCTCCTCTCTCTCTTGAATACTACTTGGCCTTAATTGGTTGCAGTGTACTCTGCCGGACCTCTGCTTTCTGCCCTCTTGGATACTACTTGAAATTTTATGGTGGCTGTGGGTTTCCCCTCCTGCAGACCTCCACTCCCTACCCTCTCGAATACTACTGGATGTTTATTGGTTGCTGTGGGCAGCTCTTTTAGACCTCTATTCTCTCCCTTTTTAAATACTAATGGGTGTTTATTGCTTTCTATAGGCAACACATCCAGATCTAAATGCTCTCCTCTCCTATACAATACTGGGTAATTATTTGCAGCTATTGGCAACTCTTTCCGATTGCCATTCTCTCCTGTTTTGGATACTATATGTTTAGTGGTGAGTTTAGGCAAATCCACCAGACCTCCTCTCTGTTCCCTCTTGAATACTACTTGGTGCCTCTTGGTGGACTCCTCCTTTTTAGACTTCCCCTATCCCCCCTCTTGAATACTACTGGATGTTTATTGGTTGTTGTGAACTCCCCAATACATCCTCACTCTCCCCTCTAGAACACTCCTTTATGTTTATTGGTTGCTTTAAGCTCCCCAAGACCTCCAAACTCTCCCCACTAGAACGCTCCTGGATGTTTACTGGTTGCTTTGAACTCCCCAAGACCTCCACACTCCCCCCTCTACAACACTACTGGGTGTTTATTGGTTGCAGTGAGCTCCCCAAGACCTTCACATTCTCCCCTCTAGAACACTACTGGGTGTTTATTGGTTGCAGTGAGCTCCCCAAGACCTTCACATTCTCCCCTCTAGAACACTACTGGGGGTGTTTACTGGCTGCAATGAACTCCTCAACTGCTCCAAACTCTCCCCTGTAGAACACTTGAGTGCTTATTGATTGCTGTGAGCTTCTCTTTCCTTGCTGTAGAATATTACTGAGTGTTTATTGGTTGTTGCAGGGAACCAGACCTTAATTTTGCCTATAGCAACCAATCACATAAATGTTTTCTCTTTTTAGGCTGCAATAGGAAAATTTATGGTAGAACACTTTTCTTTAGCATGGGTTTTTTTTATATAAGTTCCTCTGTATCTTATTCATTATCATGTCTAAAAAAAATAGCTGTTTGTAATCCTCACAGCAATCAATGGGATGTGATCTTTCATACAACCACCTTATAGATCCATTTTAGATACCATAGCATCACCAAAATTCTGTCTCATAGGACATATGATGGTTTGCAGAAACATTGAGCTACAGTATTTTGAAGCATTTTTATATTAGTTATCATTCATACTAATATTATTCTCCCATTATATTAGGTGACCTCATTATTTACAACATAGTGTCAAGTATATGTTTGAATAATTGTATAAAATGTACATTTGTATCATAGTATAAAGACCTACCGGTAGTTAAGAACGATGTATAAAACTGACTTATTTTAAGTGACTCAATCATTTCTAAATTGTATTTCAAACACAAACAATTCAATATTACGAAAAAAGTATATTTTTTTGGGGCATACATTAAAATGTTATTTTTAATTAAACAAATTTATTTCATCCAGTTCAAAATATCATATCCACAATAAATTTAGGCAGGTCACTGGTTCATTTTACGGAAAATATTAACAGAAGCTCTGTAGAGCTGGTAAGCTATTACTTGCGTGACTTGGTTGAAAAAAATCGCAATCCTAATTCCTGGGCCCCTGGTGCCTATGGCAACTGCCTTTGGTCTCCTTGGAAACTAATCTCGTGGTATTTGAACAATGTTAAAAAGGGATGTTTAATCTTGCAAATGCTCGTACTCTTCCTTGAGATCAGTCTTACCAAGCAGCAAAAAAACGAGATGTTAAAACTATATTGTTCAACACAATACTGTGAACATCAATCAACATAAATACAATGTAGACAGA